ATAAAAGTAGGCTGCAGGCTTTTTATTTGTATCTGCTCAGAATGATGATGAAACCGTTGGTTGTATTATCCTTATCCCCGCCCACTGCTGCCTCCAGTTTGTAGGTTACTGAAAGATTTCACCAACCACAGATAAGAAGATTAGAGAGAGGAATTAATGGTATTCCTTTGTCATTATAGGAATAAATTGATATTTGGTTTTAAATCAGAGGGTGGGGACAGCGGGGAGTTACATGTTGTGTCAGCAGACGTCAGCAGAGGGATGGCACAGTGGACAGCAAATGCAACCAGGGAGATTCCTGTGACTTGGAGCTAAGCGCTGGATATCTGGCCGATGTTCACCATGTTAGAGGAGATGAAACAGCAGGATAATGAAGATGTGTGTGTGCGTGGCGGGACAGAATGAGTGCTGCTGGGTCATGGAAGTGCCAGTAGAGGACAGGGACAGCTGTGGCATTCCCTGGGCGAGACACTGACGCAGCGGGAGGAACGTTTGGGTTCCTCTCGTCTCTCCAGCACCAGCCTAACCATGAGACTGGCCCTCCTGGCCTTCAGACTGATGTGCTTGGCCTGGCTGTGGCCCCTCACCCACAACAGCAGCCACTCAGCAAAAAAGAGGAGACACAAGGAGCACATTGGAGAGAGCACCAAGCAGAAGCATGGAGGGTGAGCTAAAGTGGGATTTCTCCTTGTGATTCTTTGCTTTGTAATCGTGGAGCTGCTTTTCTGATCAAAAATCTTTTTATTGCGTTTCGACAATGCATAAGTAATGTTTGTCATTTAGAATTGGGAAAGCAAAATATATTTATACAAATGAGACAATGGTCTGTACTGATTGTATGTACAAAGAGAAAAAGGAATGACAAAAAACACAAACCAACAATAACAACGACTAAAGTAATCCCCTACATTCACATATACACGATTTCTCATACACACAATTATTTACCAGGAACATTGTTGAATGAATATTTGGAGCTGCTTTTACTGTTTGAAATGTCGACCTATATAATTTTGTGGCTCTGTGTTCTACTTCACAATGTCATCAAATATATGGCTATGAATATTGAAATAAATAACTAAATGTAAGAGCAGGTGATTTATCATGTGAGGTGAAAGGTAATATGGGCATGAGACTGAACAGGTATTTTTGTATAAGACTTATGCAACATAAAGTGCTTAGTACAGCAGTGAAAATCTGAACAATCACAAGGATTTCTAGGAAGACAGTAAAACAGATGTGCATTTTGAATAAATAAAAGTTGCAAGGTGAACCTATAAGACACAAGAACATGATGTCTCCAACCCAGTTATATGCGAACAGTTATGGAACTTCTAATTTCCTCTAGACCAAAGCCTTGGGTTGTAATCAGAGTGCTAAAGTCCAATTAACCATCACTAACTCCCTCGACCAGATGTCAGTTCTGCTTCAATTATGCGTACGTGTCAGAGAAGGAGTTTCTACATTAATCTGTCATTTGTTCTCTTTGCTTTTCAGACGAGTTGATCTTAAACTCAAAAAGCTGGACAGCACCAAGTCGCTGCTAATTAAATCCGAGCAGCTGCTTCGGATTGAAGATCATGACTTTGCAATGCGGCCTGGCTTTGGAGGTAAGAAACACAAATCAAATCTATCTATTCACAGAAAGCCTGAATATATATTTAATCAAATATTCTTTCTCTTTTTTAAATTAATTTTCGTAACATGTGCTCTCCTGGCAACTCAGGGAGGTTTAAGTAGGTTACTGTGCTGCTGTTACGCCAACCACAAAAAACACTGGTGACCTAGATTGTCTGCTGTGTGAGACGATGACAGACAGCCTAGTAGGCTACAGATACAATAATCTGTGTACTAATTCTGTGGAAGAAAAGCCTAATGTTATATGACATTTTCGTGTTGCATAATTATTAGAATTTAAAACTAGAAATGTATTATTTGTATCCCCGTTTCAAAGACTGTAAACGATAAGCTTTGTGTTCTTTCTGTGCCTCGTAGCCGGGTGAGGATTTAGTTTTGATTTTAACTATATATAAACCATGAATAATAAAAAACAAACTTTATCTGAAAAGAAAATGCTCTGGTGCTTCAGAAACAGTCTGTTTTTTTCTGGGTGGCTGTCTTAATCCTTTCAGTGGATGTGTTTACGTTTTCTTTTTAATCAGACGCACAAAATAACAGTCGTCTCTGAGTCCAACAAGTGACTCTTTCTTGACATTTACGAGCAGCTATTTTAATTAAAAGCCTTCATTGCCGAGGTGTTGTCCTCTGACCACTAGACTGTACAGACTTCCTGCATGTGTCGACTCTTATGACCTGTTTTCTTTGCAAACAATAAGGTCTTACAAAACTAGCATTGTGTGGCTGGTTTGAAATGAGTGTTCAGTAAAATGTCTGGTGTATCAGTATGTGTTTGGTATGGTTTTCATCTGGTACACTTGTGAACTGTATGAGTTCCTCTCATTGTAGTTCTTGATGCACATCAGTAAATACACATGTTGCTTTCTGAATACCTTTTGTCAAACATTACATTTTCTCATCAGAAAACAGTCTGTCTGGAGAAAATATTTTAAAGGTTTGGCCAGTAACCATTACTTTCCGTTTCATGCAACGCTGATGTTTCAAATAGCAACTAAAGTCGTGACAATAGAGTTAGAGTTGAGAGACAGCGTTTACAACATATTTTATTCCCCAGCAGCCTTTTCCTAGTTCATTTTAAGCCAATGAAAAGCTAAATTGACATCAAATGATAGGGTTGCAACATTGCATTACGGCTACTGCGTTTCACTTTTGCTCTCTGCACAGCCTTTTAGCTGCGTACAACCAAAGCGTGTTCGCTCGATACCAATTGGACTGCAAACAGAAATGTTTAAACACCTCTTGCCTACCGATTCTGAATGAATATGCTGTCATCTGTTTTTAGCAATATTCAGTGACATAACATTAAAAAAAATCAGCAGGTCTTTACCTCCAGGACCCTACCTGCCTGATATAATCTCTCCCACTCCACTACTCCAATGTAATCGTAGACTGATGGCTTACCTTCATTAGATAATGGCACAGAGGGAACGCTATGTTTAGTACACATCATAAGTTTATAGTGTGACTGGGCGATGAGGGATAAGGTCCAACTATATAGAATATTTAGTTGGGTACACAATGGGTACATGGCGTTGAAACATTTCAGTTGTTTAAGTAGATGTTTGGGTTTATCAATGCAGACTGCCGCCGGCCTATGCGCTCACAATCTAAGTAGATCCTCTTTGTTGCGCTGTTCAATAATGGGCTGGCAACACATGCTCGTAGAGGAGAACACATCCTTAGTTTGTTTCCTGGCTCTGAACCCATTTGACATATTTTCCCAGTTTGGGTTTATCAGGTCATGTGAACTAAAATACCCCCTAATAGGATTTTGATGACAGTGATTGTTTGTCTTGTTGGTGCATCCTGGGACAGGCTTAAGACTCATATTGAAAAGAAAGTTAAAGAGCATAAACTGAATGATTTTCTGGTAGTCTGTTATGAGTAACACAAGGGATATTTATATCCATGCAGATTCTGGTGAGACAGAATCTTGTGATTTAAATCTGAACGGTCTCAAGGCATCTCTAAACTCAGTCATGCTTAAGAACTAGCCAGGGCATCGCTCTAATCCAACTGTTTGTCTTTCGTCAAATCTAGTTTATGTCGTACTGTATATGTCACGATGTGGGATTTACACTTAAATAATCCCTGGCAGATGTGTGATTCATGGACGGCGTGTTACTGTTGCTGAAAAGCTGATCCACTGTGTTTGACCTTTTGTAGGTTCTGCTATTCCTGTCGGCATTGATGTTCAGGTGGAGAGCATTGACGGTATATCTGAAGTAAACATGGTACGTGCTAATAGGATATATGCACTTAGTCTAGGAACAGTGTTTCCTTTTCTCATCTGAACATCAGGGTTGTTTTGTTTTCAGGACTTCACCATGACGTTGTACCTGAGGCATTACTGGCAGGACGACCGCCTGGCCTTCCCCTCCAGCAGCAATAAGAGTCGTACCTTCGACGCACGTCTTGTGAAGAAGATTTGGGTTCCTGACGTGTTCTTCGTCCACTCTAAGCGTTCTTTTATCCACGACACAACCATGGAGAACATCATGTTGAGGGTTTTTCCTGATGGCAATATTCTCTACAGCGTCAGGTAATAAAAATATGTTTTGTTAATATTTTGTTACTCATTAAGAGATAAAAATGAATGTTTGAAGTGAGACAAACTTGTACTGTTCAGCAACAGGGCCCACTGGGGCCAAAAGAGGGTAATTCCAGGATAATGGCACATGGAATTTGCTTTTGTTGTTGTTGTTGTCACTTTTAAGGACACCATAATGGTCCTCAATATTTTTGAAATGTCTTGTCACATTAGCTTGCAGTATGTGATGTGTATTATTGCAATTGAATTCAACTGCACATCCAAAGCTTTCATTGTCCAGCTTTAAGTGTACCTGCGCATATAGGAGTTATGATTGAATCATTTGCATATTAATAGTCCGGTAATTCAATTCAGGTTCTTTTTTTTGTTTTATTTTGTAAATATTAGAGGAAATTAGAGGAAATCTACAGATCAATAAAGACAAAGTGAAATGAATACCTTAAGGTGTGTTTTGGTTGTTTTCATTCCACCAGTCTATGGAAACAAAGCAGACCAGAATTGCGCAGTGCATTACACTGAAGGGTTTCGCCTTAAATAATAAAACAATTTTATAAAAAAGGACGTCAACCAAGATATGAAACAATCCAGTGGACTGTTACTGCGGGGTTTAATGGGCATCGTCTGAAATAAATATAAGAAGCTTTCAGACGACATTCATTTTCATCATATCCATTTCAGCCACAGATGTCGTCAATATGGCGTCATCCCGACAGATTGTAGCGCCAGCGGCCTCTGAGAGAGAGTTAGTGCATGAATGCATCATTTAATGTCCCTCTCCACCACCATATGTTAACATCAGTCCAGTGATATTGTTGTATAGACTTTCTGACATCTTGCTTGATTTATGAGGGTGTAAGCTGTGTTTCAGGATCACGGTGACTGCGCTTTGCTCCATGGACTTCAGTAGTTTCCCTCTGGACACACAGAATTGCTCTCTGGAGCTGGAGAGCTGTAAGTACGAAACAAACTACAGTTGGAACATTTCCTGTTGTTAATGCTTGATAGGGAATTTAAATCGGTTTTCCTGAGGATTTATGTTAATTTTTTTTGCAGTGCTTGCTTGGCATGTTTTGCTGAATAACATGTTACATAACTTTTGATACACTGGTTTTTAATTCAAAAAGCATCGGCTAGTGATACTGCTGAGCTCACTAAATTACATGAAGCAGTAGCCAAGCTTCATAAACGCACGGTAACCCCCGCCATCTTCTCTTTGCACTGAGTAAATATATCATAATCCTCAATCAGCTCTATCTCTGCCCATTATAAAAGTCTGCTCTTCTAATGAAGGACTTACTGGGGATTCTGTTTTTCTGAATCCCTGAACTTGGGATTAATTTCCATGTTGGGAATCTTTTGTTATTCTGGCCTGCTTCCATTTCTCTTTATCTGTCTTAAATTATTTCATGGATGAAGCATGGATCCTGATCTCACAGGAGAAACCCTTTCTGTGCAATCTTTCCTCTCCTCTGATCCATGACTCTTCTGGCAACATCAAAATGTTGACCCCCCTCTCTCCTCTCTTAAAGATGCTTACAATGAAAACGACCTGATGCTCTACTGGAAGAATGGGAACGATTCTTTAAGGACAGACGAGATCGTGCTTTCTCAGTTTTTTGTTGAAGATTTCCAGCCTTCCTTCGGGCTCGCCTTCTACAGCAGCACTGGTATGTGAGCTCAGAGCCGCGAGGGCCCCTCTGAATTGTACCTGCTTTGAACAAACACAAACAAAAAAGTCAAACTAAATAAGCCACCAGAGCTGTTACTGTTCTTTAAATGATGCTGAAGAGTATGATATTTTTTAATGAGTTTATCACCTCAAATTCATGCGTGACCTTTCCTCTAAATCAGGGGTGTCACACTCAATTTCATCGCGGGAGATATCAGCATTATTGTTGCACTCAAAAGGGCCGGTTGTAACTTTAAGACTATATAAATATAAATATATAATATATATATAAAATAATGTATTATATTACATTATTGCCTCTGTATTGGATTATTATCAGATAGGGTAATAACTTCATAATTAACTACATCTGAAAGCACAGGTCTCTTCAGTGCGCATGTCACAAAATGAGATGCATTGTGCGACATGTAGTTGGGCAACGTATTATATTCTTTGCAAGCTCTTGCCGGCCACATAAAATGAAGTCGCGGGCCTTGAGTTTGACACCCCTGACCTAAATGAATCAGTAACACTAAGGCTAAACATCCCGAACTATAGTGCAATGTTGTTTCTGTGGGTTGCCTTATCATTTAAGCATTGACTAAGCCCACTTTTTGAAACCCAAAAAAAAGATGACAAGGGAGATTTGTGTGAAGTGTGAAGTAATCTTGTGGGGACCTTTCCGCTCTTAGAGCTTGTTATATAACTGCAGCTCTAGACAGAAAATAATCACTTTGCCAACTGAGGTCTAGGTTCTCCCTGTAGATCCATCTAGTACTTTCTTACATTCCCAACTTTTACTTTATTTTCATGTTTTTTTGCAACATTTTCCAGACTTTTCTGCTGCTTCTCACTGTTATTATGCCATGCTACCCACTCTCTACCCCACCTCCACTTTCTGTCCGTTTGTCTGTTTCAGGTTGGTACAATCGGCTCTACATAAACTTCCTTCTCAGGAGGCACATCTTCTTCTTCATGCTTCAGACATACTTTCCCACCATGCTCATGGTGATGCTGTCCTGGGTGTCTTTCTGGATAGACAGGAGGGCTGTACCTGCCCGTGTCTCTCTGGGTACTGAGACTACGTCTTCATTTGACCTTTAACACATGTTGACAGATTTATTCAACAAATACAATTTAACTTGTATTTTTATCCAAAATCATCAGTTTTACTTATAAGAAATGCTTAACAATTTAGGTATTTAGCTTTTCTAATTTTTTATGGAGAGATAAGAGCACTGTTTAGCTTATTTTAGCACAACAATAGAAAATAGGGGGAACACTTACAGTAATTGCTAAAAATGAAAAAACAATGGTGAATTCAAGAGGCAGATATTATGACAATAGTCTTTAACCCAATTCAATCTGATAATGTAAACTACATGCCAAGACCTGGTCATAAATAGTAAATAAAGCATTTGAAATGTTTTATCAATCACTCGTAGGTATGACGTAGTTATGTTGTGAAACAGCAGTATGTTTTTCTTCGGCTTTAAGCAACAGTTTGCAGCTTCAAGTCACTAAAATGACTTGTAGTGTTCGGATAAAAGATTCAATTATTGTAGTTATACAGATATTAAAAGACTAACAATTGCCACGGAGAATATTTATAATGCTTCGGTTTGTTTTATGCCTATTGAGTACTGGTGTGGTGTTTCTGATATGAGGATTTGATAATTATATTGTGGATAGGGCTATTTTTTTAATTGCTCCTTTGTATGCAGGCATCACCACGGTCCTGACGATGTCCACCATCATCACCGGTGTCTCAGCCTCTATGCCACAGGTGTCTTACGTCAAGGCCGTAGACATCTACCTGTGGGCCAGCTTCCTGTTTGTCTTCCTGTCTGTCATCGAGTACGCTGCTGTCAACTACTTCACTACCGTGGAGGAGATGAAGAGGCTCAGGAAGGCAAAGGTCATATTCAGCTGTTTGTGGCCTAGAATATCTTGTTAAATAAATAAATAATACCAAATAAATACCATCTGGACAGACTAACTCTCCTCGTCTGCTTTTGTCTCTGCAGATCCCAGACTCCTACGACGCCAACCAGGCTATGGCGTTCGATGGCTGTTTCCATGACAATGACATCGACCTGACTCCTTTTCCAGACACAACCAGCACCTCAAACACAGAGAGGAACACGCAGTCTCGAAACTCTACCGTCTCCGGACCCACCCAGGGAACGAGGCTACGCCGCAAGCACCCTTTACTACAAAACCTCAGCTTCATCATGAGCAACAGCTACATGATCGACTCCTACTCCAGAGTCATCTTCCCCCTGGCTTACCTGCTCTTCAACATCATTTACTGGAGTATGTATGCATCGTAAATCACCAATGCATCAGAGGAAACTATTTATTTAAGACTATTTCCACCACAATACAGTTTAACACCAACAGGCTGCAATAAACTGATTAACAATACTCTGCTATGGGATTCGACCTCAAGTCTGTCTGCTGATGATATCGTGCATGATGTCGTTATGGAAAACATCTGGGATCAGCTGTTGCATTGAATGGCTGGCTATTTTTGCTGATGTTTATATTTTTTTCTCGCATGCCTGTTTTATAAGAAACATACTTTTATTTAAACAAATGTGTTCTATTTTATTTCTTGATTAGACACAGAACATCTTAAAGTATAATAACTGTACATTGTCTTGAAAAATAAATGGATGTTGTGTGTCAAGTTTAAAAATATAATTCTGACAAATATTTACTTTGCTTTATTTTACTTAGTTTTTTTCTTATGTTATTTATTTATTTAACCCTTAGATGCATAAGTGGGTCTTTTTTGACCCGGTGAGGTGGTTTTCTTGAAGTATCTTTGTAATTACATTTTTTTATCATTTCATATTCCAGCTATTCCTCAAAAAACATGTTTTGGATATCATGCCATTCACATTTTTTATTTACATTTTACATTGTAGTTTTTGTATTTCTACCCCAAGCTTCCATAAGTGGGTCAAAAATGACCCGCATGCCTTTTCTATGGAATCCTATGGGAAAACTTTTTTTTTCAAAATGTAAAAGAAATATCTAAAATTATAAATAGTGAAAAATGTAATATAAATTATTTCTAGTGTGAACCAAAATATAATACTAAGTATTATACAAGTGATTTTTCTTAACCAAAATGACAAAAATGGCATAAAAACACATAGGCCTATTATTCTAATACGGGTCCTTTTTGACCCACTTATGGAAGAGTAGGATCCAGTCACTCGTGCATCTAAGGGTTAACAGGGACAGTGCACATTAATCAACATTCCTTTTCATTTAGTGCCAGTTAGCCAAGATGCTATTTTTCATCTGTAGTAACGGGACAGATTTTGTAAGTCACCCTAATGAGACAAAATGTCATTTAAAATAACGAGTAAATACAATCAATAAAAATATGCAACATACAATACTGGAAATGTTAATAAAAAAACCAAAAAATAAAACATACATATTATGAAAAAGAACAGGTTAAAGCACAGGCAGTGCATACAGACAGTGGGTTGTAAGGTGCAGAAGATTGTATCAGTGTTGACAGAGCTGATTCCTTACCAACTATTTAATTGGGATTTAAATACACGGAATGTATTATGTTCTCTGATTGTAGCTGGGATTGAGTTCCATTGTTTAGCAGCTTTAACAGAAAATGAAGATTAACTGAAATAACCTTTCCTGAGTGGAATAATGCAATCTCCTCTTGCTGCACCTCTTTTCATCCTATTTGCGGTTGTCCCTATGATAATAATATCTGTGTACTTTAGCCGTAGACATTCATTAATATTAATTTGACGACAATGTGTCAGTCTTAGCCACAAGGCATTATTTATCTTTGCTCCGCTGCTGTGGCAGTGAACAAACACAGTTAAGGTGCAGCCCTAGAAAACGAAACAATGAGCTGAAAGTTGCTAAAATGTGTGACTATTTTCAAAATACAAGTAGTCATGTTCTCTATTAAGGAATTATTGCCCATTTAGGATTAAAAGCCCAGGAATTAAATTGCTTTATCGATCGTGGAAACAGCAGTTGAGAAAGGGATTCATGTCAAAACCCTTCCTCCACCATCTCATGACGATCATAGCATGTAGAAGACACTACTTCATGCTATCGATCAAACACATGCAAGCCCATATGACAACCAAGAGTGACATAACAGAGGATTAATAGATCATAACAGCAGGCATACAGCACATGAGACATTTAACAGTATACTTATCGGATAGAAGCTTTTATGTGCTACTGCTGCTGCTGCTGCGAGTTTTTAAACGTATAGCCTATATGATGCCGTAACCCAATAATACATTATTGTTTATTCTTTAAATATTTCTGTGACAGAAGTGACAATACACTCAACAATATACTAAAAAAACAATTACATGCTATGCTGTATAGCATTGATACCCACTTTTATATGTTAACATGAAATGAGTTTAAAGGATTGGAGCGAATGAGAAAATATGGAGGGAAGGGATTAGAGTTCATAAAGTCAGCCATAGCCCGGTTGCATAACATGGTGTTAATGTACATGAATCCAGCAGGAAGTCCGTTTTGTCAAAGCTTATGATGAATAATGTGAAGAAACCTGACCAGTTATTTTCTAAAAGCTCAGCAGGGGGGAATATCAGTGCACAATATAGTTCAAATAGAAACATAGGAAAACATGAACATTTTAATATTTGCTCTGGTCTCATTTGTGTGTGTGTACCATATACAGTCTATGGCAGGGGTACTCAAACTTTTTTGTTAAAGGTCCACTTGTGAATTTTATACAAGGTCAATGGTCCGGATCAATGACAGTAAAGTCCCCCCTCCCCGGAGCGGAGCAACGAAACTGAAATTAAGAAGCAGTTTCGGCGCGCTATGCATGTACTTTGGTCAGGAGGTTTTAAAGTGCTATATAAATAAAGTTGGATTGGATTGGATTAATCTACCTTATTTGGGGGCCCCCTTCTGGTCCAAGCACTTGCCTGTCGGTAAACGGCGCCCCTGTATACACACAGACATTCAATACATACATACATACATACATACATACATACATACATACATACATACATACATACATACATACATACATACATACATACATGACATACATGACATACATACAGTATCATGGCTTGAACTAGTGGGAGAAATGGCACTGTTTGTCTGTAGCCAATGCCTTGAACCTCGGCAAAAATGACATTAGAAGCATTAGAAAGTCAAGGTAAACTTGTGGGTAACTTAAATGCGCGTGACACTCGCGCACACAAGTAAATATATGCACGTTCATTCTCAGAACGCGTCAGACACAAGACAATATACATTAAAGGGGACCTATCATGCATAATGCACTTTGTGATGTATTTTATACATAAATATGTGTCCCCGGTGCGTCGGGGAACTCACGCAGCGTCAGAAAATAAAACCTGCTCTCTTTTCCTCCGTAGGCTACCCAAATCTTTTAAAAACAGGAGTACAACGAGCGGATACAGATTTGCTGCCAATCTAACGTCAAATCGGCAGCGGACCAACAGAAATTGCTATCAGAAACAATGTCTGACGCGTTTTGAACGTGTTTTGGACGTAATCTCGTCTTTGTTTACATTAGCAAGCCTCGCTAACACTCAGAGCTAACCTGTACTGGAGAGCACATGTGTTTAAAAAGCAGGAAATCAAAAAAGGAACTCACCTTGTGATAAACCCGCAAGAGAAAAAGCATTTGAGATCCATATTTCAGAAATAATCCTTGATGTGGATAAGAACAGGATGGCGTTTTATTACAACATAATTTAACTTTATCTCCGGTATAATTCTGATCAGGCATTAGCTCCGCCTCCTCTTTTTTTTTTCAAGCTAAGGACCCAAAATCCGCGTTTCTCTAACAGGACTGCACAAGAGGGGTATGAGCAGTATGAGGCATGGCTAACATGGGTGAACTGTTTGGTATTTTAAGCAAAAACTTCACAGACCTATATTTGTATGGCCCTACAATATATTTGTTTCCAATATAGCATAATAGGTCCACTTTAATTTACATCAGAATCTTTTTATTGTATAATGGGACACAGGGTTCGGTCCGGATTGATTTGCAGTTCGGTCCGGATCCGGATCTTCGTCCGGAGTTTGAGAAGCCCTGGTCTATGGTGTGTACATCTGATCTTTATCCTTATGTCGCCCCCTAGTGTACAAACTGGGAACACCTATTATTCCACTGTTCCTTCCTTTATTATTTACAGGTAACGCACGCTGGTCCATTGTCAAATTATGTTGGTACCACAATATAATAGGTCTTGTTAATAATACAATTATTAATGGTTTACTAACCCTAACCCGTCCCTAAAAGCTATTTCATTGACACATTGATACATATCTAATCTGGGCTATCAGGATATGACTGTTCAAATTCAGGAACCCTTCTTTTACATCCACTGCCAGCATAGTCATTTTTTCCATATTTAGTATTTGATTTAACTTTATTTAGTAAATGAGCAGTGTGGCCTCTGAAGAGTGCACAGACAAACACATGGCTTTGACTCTTTAGGGTGTAACTGTATTACAGTACAGTAAATATAGAGGTTAGTCAGTGTAAATATAATTTAAACTGCCACAATAATTGATTAAATTAGTATGCTGCGTCCATATTAAAATAAATATAGAGGTTTGCTTGTGTAAATATAATTTAAAATGTGTGAGTTCAGGTGCGTCACATACAAACGCCTCCCATTATGAGTCCTGAAAAGCAGGTGCATAATAGGACATACACATAATGCTGGTGTGTGATTTCGTATTACGCAACTGTAAATATTTGAATGCCCTTTCTGCAGTTACCCTGGAGACATTTAGTTCAAGTCATGTCTGTCACTAATTACATTAACAAGGTTAGGACACACCCTTAGGCGCACCTTTACTGACAAACAAATCAGAATCAGAATACTTTTAGATAGAAAACCCCCTGCATAAACCTACACAGACATTAGCTGCGGACATTTAGGCTAATCATTTTTTGGAGGATTGTACAGCAATGAGCCTTCTTTGAACTTGTCTAAACTCGAATAATTTCCATGTTCGGGAGGTAGACATTGTTGAGCAGGTAATGTTTGCAACATGCACCTGTTCAGGTTGACGTTCCAGGGGCGTGCCACATGTGTCAGCTTTTGATCCTGCATGGGAAAGTCACAGTGAACTCACTCAGCAGTCTGTCAACAACGCTAGCAACGGGTTTGTGTCGGCAGAGAGAAGAAAATGCACACATAAAGTTTGTCTTTTGGCTCTGTTTTCAAGGCTAGTATTCACCCTCTGGAAGTGATGTCCCAAGGAAATGAGGCTAAAATGAAGAGGACATCTGCTGGCTTTTGTCCTTATGGATCTTCAAGTCGATACACGTTTGGCCCCTCTGTTAGGTAAAGTGGTACGGCTGGTTTTGGTGTGTCTGCTTTTCCTTTATTAGTGCCCACAGCTGGTTTGAAACTGGATTACCCACCAAGCTCTTCTATTTACATATTTACATATTTATTATTTACACCATATTTGTCTTCATTTAAAGAAATTGTATGTTGTCTTCTTTTAGGCTTTGATTGTGAGAATATACTATTTCATATTTAGCTTGGGTATATTAAGTGAAGTTCAGGATCATATTTCCAGACATAATGGCAGTTCAGATAACATTAAGGGGCAGAAGAAAACATTCCCAAGATGAATGGGTCTGTGGATTTGTACTGTTGAAGTAAAATTCGTCTTCATCATCTACATACTGAAACAAAAGATTTTGATTTGTTGAGCAACATCGGTCCTCTACTCTAATCATTGTGTTCTCACCTGTCACAGCTATTGCTTAGATGTTTCTTCTCTCATTTTCTCTAATTCTAATATACTCTATTCCTCCTCAAGTCAATGTACTAACGTTAACTACATTACGTACAGGATGTAGGTGAAAAGGGTTAAATTACATTTCAGTACATTCCACTGCCTCGAAAGGGCTTAGCTGACTAAGTTATATTTGTTGCCCTCTCAGTTGAAGCTTCATGTATCTACTACAGTATATATTTCTCGCTGTGTTGTGGCCCTAGGTGTGCGTGTTCGGTAGAGTGCTGACCAGAGCAAAGCTATGGCAGATTAATAGACATAAAAAACGAATGACTTTGTCTGGTTTGGTAGTTGTATACAAAACCTTTGGCATAATTTCCATCTTCAACGTTGTAGCAATCCACAGAGAAATGAAAAAGAAAGATAATGAGAAATAACAAATGTATTTAGTTCTACATTTTTATGTTCTGATAAATAAATGTATTCTTGGATTTCAAACATCAGCTTTATGATGTTGTTATTTAGTATCTCTAAGGCTTATCCTTTACACCTCATCTGTTGTCCTTCTAATTACATAACACATGTAAACCATGATCTTGTGATGAACAAAAGCAAGTAGTTGTGTTGCCTAAAAATCATTTCACAACGTTAACCACTTGTTTGAAACTACAATGACAAACCTCACTCATCCATTCTGTGAGGATGTTTTGATTTCCTACTAGTGTGAACAAACAACCGATCATATGGGTCGTATTCGTAGTTGAATATTACATATATTACATAACGTTTATAGGTTATTTTGGGCTTTAAATAAAAAAAAACATATATTAAAGCAGGTACCAAAGTTTAGAGAGCTTTAAATGTAAAATAAAACTCTTCTGCTACCACATAACTTCTTAATACACTGCATGGTATAAGCACAGTTTCATAATAGATGTAAACACGACCTGAGCAAACATTCCTCATTTATTCATAAAACCCAACATGTGTTTCTAGACTGTGCGATATGTACTTCTCTCTATGTGTTACTGTGTGCACTTTTCCTTAAGCAGTGATAAAGTTAATGTGTTTGCTCTGTTGTAGTGGACTCTGATTAAAGGTGATGCTTAACAAGAATATGTGTTATAATTGTGTTTGATTTGGCATTATCCATTTCTTAGGCACATTATAAGATATGGTAAATTACTGAATTATCCGAAACCAAAGAGAAAAGCTCTTTAAAAAATGAATACAGGAAAGGCTTTAGCAATTATCAGCGTGAGAGGAAAGGAGATTAGTCTGAGAATATTTTTTACATGACTCACTCTTTCACCTGTGTGATCTGCTGTTCAACAATAGGTACTCAATTGAATGTCACTACAATGGCATTTGAACTAGACTATTTCATTCCATATAGACATTTGAAAAAGTGTTTAAATGATTGTATGTGTTATCTTACAGACTGGAGAAGGCAGGCTCTTGTGCGAAACATTACCACTGTCTGCACATACTTCTGCTGGCCATGCTATTGGCAGGTATGTTCTGACATGAGCTATGACAGCTTAGAGCAGACAATGGAGCGTCAGCATCCGTCATCTCAACTGGACTGACAACTTATATTTAAATATGTCTCCCATGTCTAAATTGCCAGTCATTCAGCGCGCACACACACACACACACACACACACACACACACACACACACACACACACACACACACACACACACACACACACACACACACACACACTACACACACACACACACACACACACACACACACACACACACACACACACACACACACACACACACACACACACACACACACACACACACACACACACACACACACACACACACACACACACACACACACACACACACACACACACACACACACACACACACACACACACACACACACACACACACACACACACACACACACACACACACACACACACACACACACCAATGGGTTTTGCAATATGTAAACTATTACCTGTTATTCTAGTCTAATATCTGTCTGTTTCCTACTGTAACTTATTTGTAGAGGAAGGCAGACAACATGACCAAGAAATAGGAAAAAATTAAGAGATGTGTTGTAATTCAACTACTTTAGGAAACTACCATATATACCTGAACAAACGTTCCGAAGTACATGGCAGTTTACATCTAAGTATAACATATTTAGATGTGATTTAGAATTAATTACAAGTGTCCTATGGACCATTATTGGTATTGTGTAACACACAATAACATAGTAAATAATCACTTGTGAAATAAATGAAACATATTGATGAAGTCTGCAGTATTATAGATGCATCACTTTAAACTTGACTTTACACATTCAGTAATAATGACTATTTTAGCGTAGTGTAAAATACAAAAGTTCTAGTGTCTACACTAAAATAAATGACTCATATTAATCAACATTAAACTGAAGTGTACATTTAAAATGTTCCTCTTAGTCGTTCATTCTGTGCAAACTAAAAATAGTTATTCTGTCTTTTACGCCGACAGGTCAGGCTTCCTGTGTTGAGACCGCTGATGCTCTCCCCACTGTTCCTCCAACAAACACACAGCCTTCAGGTAAACATGCACAGGCATTATGTTATACTGTGTCAAACCCAACTTTACACTTCGCTCATCCACTCTGATCTCAGTAACCATTGAAGACTGATGACTGGAAATACAATATGTTACATACTATTATGCTTTTGGGGGTGTAGTGCGTTATATAGGTGTTTGTGCATGTAAATGGTCTGCAAAGTCTAAAATCCTAAATTTCACACGAAAGGGGGTTTCTCTACCACACACTCCCCCCAGCCTGAAACACCACGATTGTACTCCTTTGTTTACTTTCATAACATAAGGACATCAAGAAACACTCGGCTTCTATTGGCGCACATTATACGTGACCGGATAAGGGGCGTGACAGCTCTACGTTTTTCACCAATCACAACAGAGCCAGTCAGCTAACCAATCAGAGCAGACTGGGCTCTGGTTTCAGACAGAGGGTGAAAAGAGGTGCTGCATCACAAGCAGTATGAGAAAAATAAAGACCTTTATGAACATTAAATCCTGTAAACAAGTCACAGAAGAAGCACACAATACAAATATGAACCTGAAAAAGAGCACAATATGTCCTCTTCAAGATCAGTTGACTAAATAGGGAAAGTACAACTCTGCCTGTGAACAGCTTTATAATGAACTTTGTGGATCAGGGATATGGCTGATATCATCTGTGTTATCCGAGGTTATTTATTATTTTTTCAATCTGTTTACTCAACTACATTCTGTCTTTCCTCCTTTCACAGTATACTCCTTTTTTGTTGTCACTGTGGATGTCAATGAAGAGAAAGATGAAGCGGAGATAGTTGCCTGGGTATGTTTAGGAATAGGTTCCGGACTTGTTGCTAACTAATATACCGGATATATGATCTTTATACCCTGTAAATAAATATAATTAGCATTGTGTTCCTTTCCCCAGCTTAAACAGGTGTTTGCAAACAAGCTGCACACCTGTCTGTCTCCAAACATTGAAGAAACCACTGTCGCACCTACCTCCCCACAAACTACCTCTCCATACACTTCATATGAAACAACACTCGTGAAGACAGCAACATCAACATTACAAAGCTATAATTCAACTACAGCTCTGGCAATCACTAGGCTAAAGAGCAACAACCATACTACAAATGCTACAACTACAACGTTAAAAAGGGACACAACTACTGCAGCTGCAACAGTTACAGTATTTAAAAGCATCACCAGCACTCCAACTGAATCAACTACGGAGTTAAAAAGTATCACCAGAAGACCAGCTGCATCAACCACAGCGTTAAAAAGCATCACCAAAACTACAGCTGGAATGACAGTCTTAAAAAGCAACACCCCAACTTCAGCTGGAACAACTTTGTTAAAAGGCCTCACTACAAACGAACCTGGAAGCACACTTTTTTTTAAAACAACATTGGTAACAAAAGCCACTGGGAACCACAAAACAAAGAAGCCAAAACCAGATAATGGAAACAACAAGCGTCCAGTTCGGGAAATTCGGGCCAGTGTGACAGAAAACAGGTATCTCACGACAATTTTTGATTAAACAAACTAATGATTGAAAGGGTTCAGTGTAGGTAGGTGATAGACAACAATAGTCATACCAAGGTTTTGTTGATATTACTCATGATTGAGTACAAAAATACTGCTTTTTATCTCAGTAGGAGGAGAATGTTGTAATTGTGCTGTCTTCATGATGTCATCATAATCAATGTAAAATCAATTAAGCAAGGTCTTGTTTTTAATTGTTTGTGAGTTCAACTTTGTAAGAGGAAAATGTGATATCTCATCTACCAAAAGTTATACAGACTTTTATAGCAACTTTAAATCAATCTTGTTATGTCAATTTGATTTTCAGTGCGACCATCAGTGGCATAACATCTGATCTATTTCAAGTAAGTCAACACTAAGATGTATCTGTGGGTAACAGTGTGTGTGAAAAGAACGATCATGTGAATTCATTTTTTTTTAACAGGATCTTTGTGTTTCATGCATCAACAAGACTGCAATAAGGTAGGTGAAGTATACATTTTCAAATGACTAAAACGTGTGTAAAAATTTGTTTTGTTGTTAACACTGACCTTATACTTCAGAGAGACCAACTGTTCTGTGTTGCTGAGGCTGAAGCAGAAGGTCCCTTTGTGTTGTATCTTCCGTACGCTCTATGAGGCCAGTCGTTCCTCCTCTGACATCCATGTGGTGGGAGCAAATAAAACCGGTGAGTGTTCGCACAGTCTGAAAATAGATAATAACCTACCTAACAAATTCTCATAATGCAATCAACCTTCTGTGTAATTGAACAGGTATACCAGAGGACTGCAGTTGCAATAATACTGATCAAGACGTTGAATTATGGTAAGGTGTTTGGTATTTAAAATCTTTTTTGTATTTGTTGTATTTTTTTTAAGGGGTATTTATGGGTTAATCTTTAGGGTAAATATATACAGTATGGCCATGTTATGTGCTGCCTTTTTATAAGATTGTATGAGGTTGTCTTGTTTTTATTAATCAAATTCGCCTATCTTTCCACAGTGAAGACACTGGGACTGTGGCTCCTCTAGGCAACTCAACACACTGTGGGGCAGGTGAGCTTTCAACATTTCCTTTGAACATCTTCAAAAAACAGAAAGTAAAGAAAATTCTTCTGATCTAGGCTACATTAATTAACCAACCATTTCAATGTAGACATGTGGCATAGGCCTAGGTTAGCCTACATGTAGTCAAAGTAATGTTGACTTAACTTGGACAGTTAATTGGAAGAGCCGTTGTGAGGCTAAACATTTATTCCAAGGTTTATATTTACATTTTTGGGAAGCAGATTTGTTCGCTTTCTTGCTTATAATGTTTTAAGAAGAACAATACCCATCTGATATATGTAGGCTACCGTAAATATACAGTTACAGCCAGTTAGCTTAGCTTAGCATAAAGACTAGAAACGTGCAGAAACTAGTCCGGCTTTTGTCGGTAGGTAACAAACCCTGGCAAGACCACTGATGGTCACTAATCAACACGTTTTATTTTGTATGTATAAGTTCATTTATTGGCAGCGTGCAGTGTTTTGTTTACCTTTCAATGCATCTCGCGATATCACGCGATATCACGCAAGAGTCGCGCGATCACAAGATCACCTGGCGTGTCAGGTTGGTTTTGTTACCATGGAGAAACAGCAACCGGCGGAACTTCCTGGAAGTCAATGCGCCCAGCCCATGGATGTATAATAAGAACGGCCCAGCCGGCCGAGTTATATAGTCCTGCACAAATCACTCTTTAAAACTGACCCTTTATATAACCTACACACGTTTTATTATTTCTTGTGTAAATAATAGGTGAAATAATGGCACAGTGGCCAAAAATGAGACAAAGGCAGGTTGAATACTGTAATTTAATATTGAAGTGGTTGTTTTCATACTATCATTTAGACCTATATAAAGAAAACCAATATGCTTTGATTTTTTTTCCAGTTCATAGCCCCTGCAACTGCTCTGCCTACTGCAATGGAGTTGGTGAGTGTTTTATTAACAACAAAACCACCTGATAAAATAAGACATTTGTTAAGTGTTATCTTTTTGTTTTCAGAGGCATACTACACTTTTCGATTTTCAGTACAAGATTCCAAGATGAACTTTTCATACGTTTCGTCCATGGTAAGTCAACATGCACGTGTAAGAGTATGTTCAATTATTTTCTTAAGTGTCTCAAATTATACATAAATGAATTATCTAACTCTAATCTCTTGAATATTTCCAGATTTATAGCCTGAGTAAACCAGATTGCCCTTCAAGGGAAGAGTAAGTATTTGCATTCATCAAATCAAATGAAATTTGACATCAATAAATACCTTTTGTTAAAATAAAAATAAATCACAATCTTTGTAATGTTCCTTTGCAGCGATTCATGTCCATTGTCCGTCATTGCATCAGAATACAGGGTAACCGACGACCAAACTGTAATAATTGTGTCTGAACTTCACATTTTAGTTTAAATAGGCAATTACAAGAAAGATCAAATTTGAATATTAAGTGAAAATATTTTTTTTGCATTTCATTTTGCCAATGTGATGCATGGCATTGAGGCAATTGGCCACTGCACATGTGCATCTATATTGCACTTTTTCTTTTTGGTCAGATGTCCATGAAATACAAATGTTTTGCTCTGGATTGACACTGTGGATATTGTGCTTTTTAACAATGAACATTTCTTCCTAGAACGCCAATGTGACATGTGGAAGCACATCAACAAAGTGAGTCAAATCCTACTCATAGCTTTGCTGGACCATTTGCATTGATGCATTTGAACAGTGACTGAAATCTGTACACTTCTGATTTTTTACTTTAAGACTTCAAATATGCAGAGTGACTTTACGCTTTGGCCATGAGGTTCCTATCTGTAATTTGTCGAATGCTGTGATTCATTTGTTTGAATCTGAGCCAGGAATACGTTACATTGGAACCGTGACTCGAGCTGGTGTGTGAACTTAATACAGGGAAAACAAGTCAATTCAACAGCAATTCATGCCGTCAAGAAAATACCTGCAAGTCTATGCTGTAAAACTCCTCATTTGTGTTTTTTCTTTTGTCTCCCACAGCCATTTGTGGAAATTCCTTCAGTGACAATCCACTGAATTCTATCAGCAACATCTGGTACCAATTGAACCTACCTCCAGCTTACTTTTGCCCAACAATAGTAGAGTCTAACCTCCTGACTTGGTTTGTATGATCTACACTATTACAACAAAAACCTGATTTAAAATCTTAACAAATACTTGCACCCAGGATTCTAATTTCTCCCTTTTTTCTTAACAGTCATGGCAGGAAAAATATACTTGTGGAGCTTAAAGAGTCGTGTGATGTTGAGGCGTTTACACCCAGCCCGGATGTGACAACCTCACAACCAAACACCTCCACCTCATCTGTGAATGTAACTTCATCCACCTCATCTGTGAATGTAACTTCATCCACCTCATCTGTGAATGTAACTTCATCCACCTCATCTGTGAATGTAACTTCATCCACCTCATCTGTGAATGTAACTTCATCCACCTCATCTGTGAATGTAACTTCATCTACTTCATCTGTGAATGTAACTTCATCCACCTCATCTGTGAATGTAACTTCATCCACCTCATCTGTGAATGTAACTTCATCCACCTCATCTGTGAATGTAACTTCATCCACCTCATCTGTGAATGTAACTTCATCCACCTCATCTGTGAATGTAACTTCATCCACCTCATCTGTGAATGTAACTTCATCCACGCTGACAGCAACATCTCCAGCTCTTAATGCAACCCTCACTACTGCTAATGTCCCCGAGTCAGGTTTGTTTTCACCTCAGCACTGTGTACAACTCCGTTCCCAACATTGACATCATTATAGCATCATTAAAGTGTACTCTTCTTGACTGCAGCTGAAAGCCAAGCCAATGCACTGCTTGAGTTGACCAAAGACATGTCCAAGCTGAACTCCAGCCAGGTGCGTCAGCTGGTGTCAAAGCTGGAGAGACTTTTGTCGGGCCCAACGGTCAGCTTTGCTCTCGGAAACATCTCCGTCCACATTGTCAGCAATCTGCTCGGTGCCACTCCTGAGGTGCTGTCCGACTCCTCCAACAGGTTTCACATTTCATTTATTTTGTCGTCTACAGAAATGAGATGGTATAACTCAAGACCTTTTTGAGAACTTTATTTTGACAATTCAGTTGCAAGTTGCCCCCTGGGAAGCAGTTCACTTCAAGCAGTCATCTCAAGGTCTGAATAAATGAAGGCAATGGAAAGGCTCCTCAAACTTGCACTCTCTCTAATATCCAGCAAGGGGCGACTCCACTGGTAGCAAAAATACATCCTCTCCTAAAAGAGCCTTTTATCTTTACATCACATGCATGAGAATGTATTTAATGTCCAAATAGATACTGGATTTTTGTTTTGTACTCTGAGATCCTATTTAAATTCAAAGTCGGTTTGTTGTTGGGGTGTGAAAGGGTGAGGGTGAAAACAAAACGCAGCACCGACAGCATCAAATGTCCTGTTTTTGCCTACAAAAAAATCCATAGTATCCTATATGAATGTAATCATATAGTTCTAACCTGGTAGCTGGTAACAAAGGCCTGTTTCTATGGCCCAGAGATTAGGAACCACTGGTGTAACTGAATTTGCTCTAATAATAATTTATGATTTGCGTAATACCAATTACATTTCCTTTCCTTAATTAGCATTATAGGGGTTGTTGATACCGTGGGGTTGAAGCTGGTCCTTGATGGAAAGGTTGAGAACCTCCTGTCCTCCGCTGTGGCTCTGTCTGTGAAACCAGCAGATGGCAGCAACTTCCAGGAAACAGTTTTCTCCATCTCAGACCCTAAGACTGTACAGGTATGACATGAATAGTCCATTTGATTATACCTGTATGAAGCATTGTCTATATAACATGCCATTCTGTTAGTTGCCAGAATGATATTGATTGAATTTATAGATATTTTACAGTAGATGTTGGATGTTTTAGAGGTTTTTAGCCTGAACAACATACATAACTTGTTTAGGTTCTGTACTTGACCTCAATATTTCCATTACTCGATGCTTCAAATCCATTTAATTCCAGAGCGAAATACAACACTTTGTTAGATCACATTTAACCAGTTTTTTTCAGCTTGAGACCCATTACAAAACAGCAATGTCCATTTTGGGCCCCTTGTCACATGTTTCAGAAGCCTAAGAGTTTTATCAGTTCCACAAAAGAGACATTTACCTTTTAAACCTTTAAGAAGAAAAATACCAAGATATTAACACCCTGTATATAATGCAGATAAAGGCATTAAAGAGCTTTGTTAGAACAGAAACACTGACATGTCACAGCATGAAAAACTGTCCATCAATTCCATTTTAAACAATTACAAAAAAATGTTTATCTGTAAACAAAACCCTGCATTACACATACACTGATTGTTAGAGTTAGATTCAGTTTATTCCACACATTTAGAAAGGTTGTTGCAGTAAACTAGGTCACCTTCTTCCTTTAATAACAAGGACATTACTTACAATTATATGTCATGGTAAATCCCTGGATTACAGTTGTTTTTGCACACAAGAAGAAATGGGTTGAGCTTGGACAGATTGACATCAATTACCCCAAATAAAATAGAAGTTGGATTTACAGTCTGATGATACAATCTAGTTGTTAAGCCAGTGTCTCTCTGTTCAGGTCCGTGGGGGTCCCAGCAGGCCCAGCAGGAAGGTGAGAGCAGACCCCCCCCTCCCGCAGGGCTCAATCAAGCTGCCCCCCTCCCTCACTGAGGACCTGACCAGCCAGGAGCAGCAGCTGGTCTCCAGAGTCCAGTTCAATTTCTACCAGAAGGACACAGTTTACCAGGTCAATACTATCAACAGAACATCACAAGAAATAGAACTCATTACAATGCAGACTTGTGCATCAGATCTGTTTTGGATTTAATATCCCTGGTTTTAAGTTGATAAGGAAACAGTTTAATTTAAATATTATAACATTGTCTTCACAAACTGACCCCTTTTGTGTGTTGTGTTGTGTTGTGTTGTCTCTAAATATTTAGGACAGCTCTTTGAGAGGCAAACGCAAACTCAACAGTGGGATCCTGGGAGCGAGTGCGGCCAACCTGACAATAAAGGAGCTCCAAGATGATGTTGTAATTCAGCTGAAGAACACAGAGCCTGTTCCAGTAAGCAAGACTGAATGATTATTTTAATTTTTTTTAATTGTTTGCTTTACTGTTTTTTATTTTCATAGCCGTATTGTCTTTTCGTCTTTAAATATTAGACAAAGGTAAACCAGCATCTACAGCAAATAAGATCACAAGAGAATATCTGAACTTCCTTTTTTCAAAAAATGAGGGGAAAAATAAAGATAAAATGTGTTATACATTATAGCAGCTGCATATTACATTAAAATGTAAAGTTGTACAATTGGACATTGTCAACAAATACTAGCTTCTTTTGCTTTTTCTGAAACTGCAGGCTAATTGTGTGGCTATCTGCGTTTTCTGGGACTTCACATTCAATAGTAAGTTTTCGGATTATCTCAATCAGAATTAAATAAATATAAACAAAGATGAAAATATGATTAATCTGTGTATTATACCTGCAGACGACTCAGGGGGCTGGAATCCAAGAGGCTGCTCTGTCCGAAAAAGCACAGACAACGAGACGGTTTGTGGCTGCAACCATTTGACAAGTTTTGCTATCCTGCTGGTGAGACAATGAGAATTTGCATCCTTTTATTTGGTGAACACTTTTCCACTCTTCTGTAACTTGCCTTTATTTCTCTTTTGCCTACAGGACCTCGCCAGACAGCCTCTAACCAGCCGTACGCAGGCCACCATCCTAACGTTTATCACATATATTGGCTGTGGAGTGTCGGCCATCTTCCTCTCTATCACCCTCCTCACCTACTTGGCCTTTGGGTGAGTTTTAGGATACATTGCATGAATTAAAACTGTTATAATAACCATTGAAGTAGCATATATATATATATATATATTTCATTCGGTCTTGGGTCCTTAAAGGTCCCATGTCATGCTTTTCTGGTTATTACCCGTCCCCTTGTGTGATATGTAGCTTTTTCTGCACGTAAACGGTCTGCAAAGTCACAAACCCTCAAAGTACACCCTGTAGCGAGTAAAACTATAACACAGAAAAGACGTGTCTATGCTGCTCCAGAACGCCTCGTTGGAGATTTTTCTTTATCCTTTTTTATTCTTCCGGGGCAGGTTGACGTCACTAAGTCCAAATGGACCAATCCGCACACACACACACACACACACACACACACAATAACTCACTCAGCCTGAGCTCCACACACACACACACACACACACACACACACACACACACACACACACACACACACACACACACACACACACACACACACACACACACACACACACACACACACATACACACACACACACACACTCAGACCCCACGCAGCAACCAGGAAACGACACCAGTAATCCAGCTCACACTGTCCACTCCTCGAGCCCCACAGGGCGGAGCAGCGAGCCCCGCAACGTCCCGCCAACACGGCACCCAGACCCCACGCAGCATTCTCATCTGTTTGTCATTACTGGTGTCATTTTCTGGTTGCTAACAAACGCCATTGTAAAACAAACACTGATGTTCAGCTTTAACGGTGGTTGACTAATCAGAACAGAGTGGGCGAGCTGACCAATCAGAGCACAGTGGGCTCACAGGGAGGGGGGGGGGGGCAGGAGCTCCAACAAGCCGTTTAGGACAGAGAGTGAATACACATACTATACAGAGATGCTGTATGAGAAAACCAATGTGATTTTGGAACATTCAACAATGTCATCTATTCTAGTAGACCTCAACAATGGAATTATGATCAGAAGAAATGGCCAAGACATGGGACCTTTTAAAATACTCAAATCAATATCTGACGTTGTTTGTAAACTAGACATTGCTAACACATGACTCGAGTAACAGTTTTGTACTACTTCCGCAATCTAAATGATATTGAACAACCAATAAATTAGATAGTGATTGGAAACACATCTGTGTTACTTTGTTTTGACTTCCCAATGGATCGTGGGCTTGTAATTATGAATACAAATATGAAAACAAAAAAATGAAACTGATCTTTTTTCAGATCACTCTTTACAAACAGCTGATTAAGAAAAGTTCACTGATGATTTTTGTTTGAACATTGCAGGAAGTTGCGTAAGGACATTCCCTCTAAGATCCTGATCCAGCTGTGCCTGGCTCTGCTTCTGCTCAACTTGGTCTTCCTGGTGGACGCCTGGCTGGCTCTCTACCCGGAGGCTGTGGGCCTCTGCATCTCCACCGCCTGGTTCCTGCACTACTTCCTGCTGGTGACCTTCACCTGGATGGGACTCGAGGCCGTCCAAATGTACCTGGCCCTGGTGAAAGTCTTCAATAGCTACATTTCCCACTACATGGTGAAGTTCTCGCTCGTCGGCTGGGGCGTCCCGATGATTGTGGTCATTATTGTCATCGCGGTTGACAAGGATAACTACGGCCTTGTCTCCTATGGAAGGTTTTCCGATGGCACTAGTGATGGATTGTGAGTCTTCTGATACGATACCAACAAATATCCAGACACACGAAAAACAAATTCTGCACAAAACAATAAGCTAACCCCATCATTCTCTCCCACAGCTGCTGGCTGAAAAATGACATTGCTTTCTATGTGTCAGTGGTGGCCTATTTCTGCCTCATATTTGTGTTCAACTTCATCATGTTCGTGGTGGTGCTGGTCCAGCTGTGCCGGATAAAGAGGCAGAACCCTCACAATTTGCAGCACCGCAGCATACTGCAGGACATGCGCAGCGTGTCGGGGATCACCATCCTCCTGGGACTTACATGGGGCTTCGCTTTTTTTGCCTGGGGGCCCCTTAACCTGCCATTCATGTACCTGTTTGCCATCTTTAACTCCTTCCAAGGTGAGTTGACTCATACAGGTTTGAGTAAATTGACATAATAGTGAACTAAATAAGCAGAGAAAGGAGATATGCAGTATAATACACATCTTCGGGTTCATGTTTTCATGCTTGAATGTTACAAAACACTTAATTGTTCTCATAATCTTAGTTTGAATGTACCTGTATTCACCCTCGGTCGAAACATGCTTATTTTTGGCACCTGTCTCTTTAAGACTCTCCTGAAGAAGCCCAGTCTGCTCTGATTGGCTTCTGAGAAAAGTTGTAGGTAGTTCTCAGGCGGTAGGAGGGGATACTCAGATAATGGGCGGTGTATTTTACTGAGCCTTTATAAAAGGATAGAATGGGGAACAAAATCTAAAGGGATTGTTGAATCCTATGTATGAGGACATTAAAAAGAGTTTAATCCACTTTTCTAAAGCTTTTTATCTTATAGTGCTCACCACTCACACACAATGTGTAAAAAGTAAGCCCAAAACCTAAACAAATGTACTTTGCAGGTGATATGCTGAACCTATAAACCCTGTTTCTGTTTCTTAGGTTTCTTTATATTTATCTTCTATTGTGCGGGGAAGGAAAATGTGAGGAAGCAGTGGAGGACCTTCCTGTGCTGCGGCAGAATGAGGCTGGCAGAGAACTCAGGTTTTTACATTTCATAACCATTCTGGACATCTATGGTTATTACTCATCAATTATTATGTAACATTTCACCTTTTATTCTGTGGAATTTATGTTTTGAACAGAATGGAGCCGCACTGCAACACAGAAGACCGCAACTAAGTCATCAGTGAACAGAGTCACATCTCTTCATTCCTCAAACTCGTCCCAGTTCCACAACTCATCCAGCTCTTCCTGTTTCCTGGTCAGCGACTCCTCAGAGCTCACTAATGGCATCAGTAAGTGAAGACTGCCTGCCATCCGGATTATAATCCTTAGCTTTGCCTTAAGCAAGACTCAACACATGTAAAACAGGTTTTAATTATTGCTGCAGTTTACTGGATACAAATATTAAACAAGGCTGTGCACTGCAATATTATAATACAATAATATAGTCGTCATATATTGTTACATACCAAATACTGCAGGCTCTTGAGCAAAGTGGCCAGAAGCCCAACACTTTTAACTATGTTTTATTCTCCTACACACTTGTCATACCAGTGTACAACACAACAAATATTTATATTGACTAAATGAGTTGTTCGTTTAACAGTCCTTTTGGAAAACAGAAATAATGCAGTAGTGCTGTGTTACAGGTAGCCAATTTGAAGACCATGTGATCACAGCAGAAGAAGGCTACAGTACGGATGTCGTCCTCAACGAGATCAACATGCAGCACAGAAACCAACAAACGCCCTGATCCAGACAGGACTTGACTGTTTTTCATGGGTTTCTTAGGGCAATTGTTGCCTTTATTGATACAGATGGATTGGAAAGGGGGAGAGAGGGGGGGAGACATGCAGCAAAGGTCCGCAGGTCGGAGTCGAACCCCTGCAAAGAGCACTCAGCTTAATCTCTACCGGGTTCGCTTTGGGCAGCCCAGAACTGAATATTGAAAGGCTCTTATTTTTGAAATACTTGTATATAATGTTAATAAAGACTAATTTATATACTGTCCATCTTCCTGTCACTTGTATTATATGACTTGTAATGAGCAATGGTAATCCTACATTATAGCACTTGATTTTAACACGCTATCCTATATTTAAATTTGTATCTATTGTATCTGGAAGGAACCTGGAGAACCTTTATTCCTTTGTATAGGGATGTTATTGAGATAAGTAGCTGAATAAAAATGGTACATTACACACACTGATGTTGATTCATTGTAAACTATTCTATATTAGCAAAGGCCAACAGGCTGGTATCATTTTCACTGTGAATTACTTGCTTTCGGATTGTTGAAATAAATGAAGCATGTTCACACTTATTGTGTCAGCATGCTAATATTACAGTAAGCATTGATCTCAGCAGAGGTTCAGTAGTTTCGGCAATATCAAGTGGAAACCTTCATACATCTAGCTGGAGCCAGTACGTTTTTCTCCGGGCCATTTTAGCTTGAATAAGACAATTATAGCCAATACATATTTCATTATATATATAGTTGCGGAACATACTGGTTTTCAATACAACAGTGTCAACCTTTATCAATGGCTCACACTGAAACTGAATTATTCTTATTATTTTACTACCCGCTGTTTGTATTGGCATGTTCTCAATTACATTTATTTTGGAGAAAATAACAACAAATCACACATTTCCCCCTAAAACACATTTAATTGTAGAGGTCACAGAAAATAACTCAAGTGGAACAGCATTTGGTGAAATGATATTGAATAAATAAATGTAACCGAGTCCCACAGGGTTGATCACGTGTAAACGTGCTGTGTACTGTATATGCAAGCTACATTCACTGTCCTTTACATGCACCTAATACAGTATTAAAAAAAAAACGTAATATATATTGTAGGAACCCAAAAGGAGCTAACAGAACATGACATAAAAACAGCACAAGCACAAAGGTGGCATTAAAGTGGTGGAATAGTTTCCCTTTTAAAACACATTTGGACTTAAACCCGTCAGTCTCACTGGGCATGATCACATTGCTTTGATACAATCTGAAAGAATCAAATCACATTTAAGAGGCAGTAACAAAAAAAACACAGCGCTTAAAAGCATCTCAGTTTAGCTGTGCTGAGCCTAAACATCACGACATGAGCCTATAACTCAAGTGTAGAGACGTCTGAAAACAAGAGAACACGCGCCTGTCGTACGATGAGTTGTGTGTATCAAATCAATGTTTACACATCTAACCGTTTCGTTCAAAGAACATGCAAATGGACATTCCAAGAAACACAAACGAAATACAACAGAGGTTGTAGCAAAAAATGGTAAGACAACTAAAACAGGAAGAAAGTGAATGATGATCGGGCAGAATGGGGTCAATAAAAGCGGGAAAATAAAACCGTCATTGTACCCCTTGAGATGTGCTCAGACTGAATGTTATCTTGATAATGCACATTGACTAACATGATGGAGCATTTTGAAGAAAAAAACCCAGCAGATTACAGCACATATGTTAGCTGTAGTGAGTTAGGAGAGGCACACACACATCAGGCATACACTGCCACTTGTGTGTGGAGCTCCAGTTATTTACGTTATATTTCTCCAGATCGACTCTTTTAAAGCCCACCTAAGACTGCGCTTACCCAAACGCTTACTTGCCTCTCATTTTTAATGTCACGTTCAGTCTGAACACATCTTTAAGGCTACAGCAGAAATGGGAGGAGCGTTCACATTCCAGCTGATGGGGATTCAAGCAGAGAAACTTGTTGGTCTTTACTTCTTCCATACAGAGTAGAAAACCCATCTGACACAATGGAATTAAGGATTGTACACAACAAAATAGGACAGCATGGAAAAATGTACAGTATTTGCCCATTCACAAATATATAAACAATTTTTAACTCAACTTGGCTCTCATTTCTATTGGTTTTGGTAACATCATAGGATCGAACAGACACTACAAAAAGCCATCAGATCACTGCAACTAACTAGTATATCATTATTACCAATACAAATAAGGTCCAAAGCTACACAAATATAGGTATTAAGACAGAAATAAGGTATAATACAAAAATATTTGAGTGTTGTTGTAATGGGATATGAACACCACATTTGTGACCTGCTCCATCGAAATCAGTCGCATTGACCCGAAGACACATTTTGAGTTGTATACACTGTTAGAAAGAGGATATTCCTAGCTTTCTAATGATATCAGGATTGTTGTTGTACTCCAAATATTAAGCGAAATATGTCACATTATATCATGACTGTTACAGAGTCATCATTTTGAGAAAAAGGCCTTTAAAGTTTCCTCTTCTCTAGAATCCATCGATCTGATTGATTATTAGTGGAGCAAATGATCAAAATACTACGGAGGGAAGATATTTTCATTTGGAGGGGAAGCTCGCGAGTGTGTGTGTATACGTGTGTGTGTGTGTGTTTGTGTATTTTTGCGTTTGTGTGTATTGTGTTTGTTTCCCGGGGAAAACCCTTTACGAGAAACACCGGCTGTTGTTATGCCTGCTGTGACGTTAAGTTACTCCGTTCTCCGCTTGTAATTATGCCGAAGCTTCAAAGTTATATTTATCATCTGAATTCGCCGAAACAAGTTTAATATTCTGAAAGCCAAGACTTTGTTTGATTGAAATCAGATGAAAACAAACTGTAACGGACGCTGCCGTGTTATCTATGATTACTATACTCTTACATTCATAATGTCAGCCGGAGGGAGGGGGGGCGGCGTGTGGAAGAGCAGATTGCGAGTGAGAGCTGCCTGTCTTCGTCCCTTTACAAGCTTCAAAAATGTATTTATCGTGTGACTTTGGAAATAAAAGTTTCATATTCTGAAAGCCAAGACTTTGTTTGTTTAAAATCAAACAAAACACCCGAACCCCGAAAAAATAGTTTTTTACGTAAATCCACGTTTATTTTGAAATGAGCCGTTGCGACTTCCGACTGATTTCGATAGAGCGGGTCACATTTATCATGAGCATAATTAAAAACATTAAAATGTCCAAATACTGATGAAAGGATACTGCTCCAAGTAGGAGGGCACACACACCACCTCTTTAGAGAACCCCACAGGACACGAGAGCTTCTTCAGCTGTTCTTCATACAGGCGCAGTGCCTCCGTCATGGTCTGTGCGTTACCCTGGTGACAGGTGGCACAAGAAAAAATAAATGTCACGGGACACACGTAGGCCTACTGTAGATATGGATTCTTCCTAAACACAAATGAAGGGTGTTAAGTGGGAGTGGTGGGTTACGATGCTTGGCTGCAATAAAATAATAAGATGCATTTGCCACTTGTTGACATATGTCCAATGTGATGAAATATTACTTTGGGAAAATGTGAAACTACATTATATTGTGAGATACGGAGCATATTCTCTAAATATGATAGACTGTTTAATCAACAATAAAAAAAAAACATGGAATAAGAAAATGCAATCATTCAGATTGAAATATTACTCTAGGTGCTATACAAGTTTTCAGAAGAAATAATTACACAACATTATCAGCAGTTGATTAAAAAACCGACTCACCTGTGTGAAATATTTCCCCGAGGGATGCAAGACTTTTATTGAAAGATCTAAGATGAGACGCAGGAACTCCCATGTAGAGTCTGCAACAAGCAGATAAGACTCAGACACCAGTTCAACAAGCTCAGAACATTTATGTAACACCAAAGGAGTGAAAATAGCCTTCCCCGCAGGCAACACAACAGGTTGACTAGCTGGTAAAACATGTTAGACAGGTCTTCCTTTTATAAACAAACTTTTTTTTGTATACAAACTACTATTCCTTAGTTAAAAATAGTCAGGGTTTATATATTCCACATTTCTACTTCCAGATATTACCGAATCCACAAAAATTAAGTGTTTTGTCAACTTTTGAATCATTACTTATTCTACCTTTTTTATCATCATAGCTTTTTTACCCCCTTATATTCCTTGAACTGTTATATGTTTTTATGCTGCATTTGTGCAAATAGCTTTGGTTTGATATTTGATTGGATTCAATTAATTAATGTTTAAGTTGAGAAACATTGTAATCGTTGCCCAGCACTTCTTTTAACCTAAATGTAATTGATTTTTCTGTTGAAATGTATAATGTGTGCCATGTTGTGAAAGCACTATATGCTGCACCTAGTGTATGAAGAGTGCTATACAAATACAGCTTAATTATTATTATTATTAATATTATGTTTCAGAAATGTAACACAAATAAAGAGAAAGTGCCTGGTGGAAATGTGGAAAATATAAAGTAGAAAATATAAAGTACAGAAAATATATATTATAACAAAAATACAGAAACCTTCTTCTGGCTCCGTGGATATCGGTATTGCAGTCAGGTCATTAATAACGTAATCAAACGTCTTTCCTTCCTGCACATACTTCCTCAGCACAGGGACACAGTCCTCAACTAGTATCTGTCAAACAGGAGACAAAGAGAGCACACTTTACTTCATTAGAAAAATATGCTTGATACATGCATGAGTTCAGTTCAATCTCAGGTTCTCCTTATCTTGTTTATCTAACCCTAACCCTGATAACATGATGCAGTTTTACCAATGATGGTGGAAGACAGGTTAGAAGAACAATCCAAATAAGTAAACATGGATGGAAACAATGCTGTGTTTAAAACACTCAATCTGCTAACAAAATTGTTTACAGTCGGATGATACATTAGGTGCACCGATGTTAAAGAGGCTGTATTGTGTTTTTCCCTTTCTTGTATAGGTTGTATGTGTAGGTGTATGTTGTAGGTGTAGGTGTATGTAGGTGTATGTGTATGTTGTATGTATAGGTTGTTGTGCATGTAAATGGTCTCCCACACACTTTGTTTACTTCAGTAACATAATGGCATCACTATGGAACACTTGCACTTATATTGGCTAGCGCTCCAACACATTGCATGTGATATGCTAAAGGGGCGGGGCATCGCTAAGCACTTCACCAATCACAACAGAGCCGGCCAGCTCTCCAATCAGAGCAGACTGGGCTCTGGTTTCAGACAGAGGGTGAAAAGAGGTGCTGCGGCACATGAGAAAAATAAATACTTTTTTGAACATTAAAGCCAAAACCTGAAAATGAGCATAACATATCCTCTTTCAGCTCAGTGAGAGGCAAACAACAGATGGCAGCACTCACTTGGTAACAATCTCCCTCCAGGCTGTCGAGGATATTGCCACAAGTTCGTCTCATGTATTTTTTGCACGCGTCTATCACCTTCTGGTCAATGTG